ACATGCTTTCCTGTTCTAGAGCAGCCAAAAATCCCCTCTCCACTGCCACTGACTTCCCACACACTCAAAATTAATACACCACAAGGCAGGACAGGGAGATTGCATCCAGTGGTTGAGAAGACTTGACAGGTTGTCTTGAACTCTAGTTCTACAAATTGGGAATGAAGACATTTATAATGCAAGGGCATGTGAAATATCAAATAGTGTGATGTAAATTGTAGTTGTGCTCTTTCTATATTAGGTATTATTTACTTTCTCCCCCATTTCAGAGGTCATGTTCTCAAAATTTTTAGTCTTTACTTGGCTCTTTTCCCTTCAACCTCCATTTTTCTCCCATCTTTAGGACAGTGTCAAATCTGAATGAGTGATTTGAAAAAAAAATATTGGATTTAAATGTCTCATTGAAACAAACATCAAAATCCATCCTAACAAGAGGGAAGGACTCAGAAATAACGTAAAGCCAAAATCCCCAGGCATGAGGTTTGGCAAGTGTGCTAACTCTGTGTGTAACTCTTCCCCCTTTTCACACCAGCTTCTGTTTTTCCTACCTTTTAAACCAAAACAGCAACATGTTCTGACACCAGGGTGATGAGAATGATATCAATAACTAGACAGACTGCAAAGCCTCACAACTTTTGGGAGCCTGAGGAAATCTTATTTAAAAGGTTATAAAACCAAAGCATGGGGCATTCTTAAATTTATTTTACTTTTTATGTAAAACATAATATTGTATTAGATTAATGCAACTGCAAATGTATCAGATTGACCCATTTGGGGAATATAACAAGTATTGGGGCAAAAGAAGAAACAACATATTGATAGGTGCTATTCTTTGTCCTTCTGTGAGGGATTTTTTTCTAAATTGCTTTCTATTACAGTATTTTGATAGTCTTCAGTTATTATTGGAGGGTGCAAACCTAAAAGAAAAAGACAGAAGGGGGAAACAATACAATACTTTAGTATTTTAACAATAAATAGACTGGAAATGTTTACTACAGCAATATCTGTTTCATAAGATTTGGAAGATCCTTATGACTAAATAAAACCATTTGAGGGGGTTTTCGTTGTATCATTGGCAAGAGTTTTAGCTTTTTTAAAGATAAGCCTGTCCAGAAGTTGTGGGAAAACCCACCTCTGACATTCAAACTCAGGTGGAACTATTTTACTTCAGTCAAAAAATTTTAAGAAGGTCTAATAAATTGTGGTGATGGGATTTAGGGGCTTGTGTTCTCCTGATCAACATGCAAAAGCAGCAAAGAAGGAAAACTGACAGCAGTATAAGTGAGACATGTGGGTGAGATAATATATTTTACTGAACCCCAACTTTAATTCACCCACTTTGTCTCTCTAATATCCAGGGCCCAACATGGCTAAAACAACACCGCATATAGCAGTACAAGTGAATATGACATATCAGGGTGATTTAGACTAACAACATATTCACCTCAAAACAAAAAATATCCCGTATATCTTCCCCTTTTATAAGAGGGGGGGAAATAATCAGCTTTACCAAAAAAAAAAAA